TTTACAGTACTGATTGCTACTATAATCTGTGATTTTTGACATCCCTAACTGTTATTCACAGTTAGTAAAAGCAGCCCATAAGGGTTTTTTATTCTAAGAAAAAAGTAGATCGAAATTAGAGTTAACTCTTGTTGATTTGTTCAAATTGAATGCCCTTTTGTTATGTTAGGGGCTCTTTTTGCCCCATTGACTTTCATAAAAATGGCAAAGCCTTGACACAATGTAGTCATGCATTCTTGTTTGTTGGTGGTTTTCCCTGTTTGGAGGAGCAAAAATTGGTCATTTTTACAGTTCAGTTGGCACCATTAATAGAGATGCTCTGATCGATTGGCCGGAGATCGGTATCGGCCGATAATCACTTTTCATGACCTGATCGGTACTCGCCAATCTGGCCAATCTCATGAACCGATAGCAAGTGTTTGTTTACGAATATACACACAGAGCAAGTCGCAGGTCTGCTCATCAGCAACGCTATAACACCTGAAGAGGTAAATGATGTGTGCAGGTGTGAGTCATCTCTGCTCTCCTAACACAGCAGCTGTTCGTAGCTGCGATCATTCTGCTGCTATCAGATGTTAGAGATAGGCATGAGCCAGTATAAGATTCTAACGGTAAGATAAACTTGGATAAAAATATCACTGTTTCGCAGTATTGTATATACTTTTTAAATGTCTGGGCAAAAAACAAGAACTTTTTTTCCAATTTGAACACAAAGGTTGCTTCCGAAGTCGCATACTTCCATACTATATAGTAGTCTAAAAATATAAAGAGAGCCGAGTAATATGTCAGAATTCATAGGAATTGAAAAACAGTATGTGAGAAGTACTTGGATGACCTACTAATTCTAGTGAGATTCTGAAGTGCACATCCGATAGACGCTAAGCTATTCATACTTCTTACATTCATACTTTATAGAGAACGTACTTTTCTATTGGTCGAGTTGTAAACACAATTTCAAATGCAGTACCTACTGAGTAGTATGTGATTTTGGACACAGCCAATATATTATATTCTGAGAAACATTTAGAATATTTTTGAACAGTAAACACATCAGGCTAAATATTTCAAATGAATCATTGACTTCTGCTGTCTTCACTAGTGGAGATACTAAAAAACAAAGCAAAAAAATTGTACATATACCTTAGGAACGGTATAACAGAAAATTTTGGCGAGATTAAAACCTTGATTTTTCCAAACCATTGTATACCTTGAAAATGGTTATTATCCCATGCCTAGTTAGAAATGAGCAATATATTTGAATGGCCTTGCAAAAACACTTGTATTTGGGACTTTTTACATACAAGAATGGAAAATTATGTGTTTTTGACTATTGCAAGGTCACTAAAACCTGGTTCTAAATCTTAGGGAAATAAAAAAATAAAACATGTTTAATAATAGAACTAGTTGTAATATACTTGTTGCAATACACAGTAGTTTATAGGCCTATTTTTTTTTTTTTTTTTTTAGGAAAGAATGAGTAATTGATTTATAGGTGTGCATTTTAACTTCTAAGGGGCCGATCACACCGAATAAGAAAAAAAGGAGTGCGGTGCGCTTTTTCATGTCGATAGGCAATGACTGAATCAGCTGAATATTGTGCGAGAGTGTTGCTGTTAATATTAATATAATTTTAATAATGAATAATATTGTGAAATACATCATTTGTGAAGTCATACAGCTCTGGGTAACCCACAGCAGTAACCACTAGTCTCTCCTCCGTCTTCAAAAGTCTCCGTTGTTGTCTTGACAACACAAACACATGTAATGTTGACATAACATGCTTTTTTCGCTCAGAGTTGACTTTTTTTCAGCTGAGAGCGCTCTGCACACAAGGGCAAAAATGCGATGCGTAGCAGGCGGTTAAAGTGCCAAGCGTGCAGGGCACGCGACGCGCATAAGCAGCGCTCAAAATGCTTGTGGTTGTTAGCGCGTATGGTGTGATCACCCCCTTATGCATCAAAAATTCACTCCAAACTTTTTCTTCAAGACATGTTGAATTCTTCTATCATGTTTCTAAAAAAGTTGTCTAACTCAAAATTATACCTCAAAACCACCCCAGAGTGGATGAAAACATCCCCAACAGCACTGGTAAAGTATTTCACATGACATTTTTTAATGTAAAAAATGTATTGATAATGTTTTTAATGTAAATATGTATTGATAGCTTTAGATTGTATTTGATTTTGTATGTGTGTGTGTGTTAGAGGGCCAGAAACATTTATTTAATATCTATATTTAAAATAAATCAGCAAAAAATTTGAGTATTGGTAAAAAAGACGATTAAAAAAAGCTTAAATGTTGATCTTTAGGCACTTTTTTGACAAGCACTAAGCTTGGCTGACACCTCGGACAATAGAAACAATCAAAATCCACTGTAATTAGAGTACACCGCAGGGTCAAAAGTGACATTGACGTGTGATGTGTTTGCTCAAAAATTAGCATTCTTCAACTCATAGCGCCTGGAAAAAACTCCAAGCATGCAGAGCTCCTATTGAAACATCTTGGCCTCAGGGGGGGGTAACGACACCTGGGCAATACGTGGGACATAGTCTTGTATAGCTTGACCTTCACACTGTCAGCAGAAGGACTGGATTTCTATGCGTGTTTTTTTGACCAGGGACAACTTCTGAAAACCCATTGTTTAGTTGACGGCCTTGTGACATGGCTTTTTGTCCTATATGTGGTTGTTTGCTGTCATGATCGCTTTGCTGTCAGGTGGACCGTGTAGAATGTAAAACTACAGCTCACGTAAATCATTTAGAATTCAACCAATCAGACTGTGACTTCAAAACTCTTGAAAGATCTCACGTTTTGTTTACTAAATGCATCAGATTTTCTGTTTATGCCTAAACCAAATAGCTGATGTACTTCTGAATTTCATTCATAGTATATACGTCTATTTTACTTTTTTAACTACCAGTTTTGACGTTTCAAACCAAATGTAGCACCAACTATATAGCATTTGATTTCAGTGTTTGTAATTTGCTATGAAATAAAATTATGTTAGATCTAATGTTGTTTTGGACACAGTTGATTTGTGTATATAGACAAAATCAGAAGCAACTTTTGTTTGACTCAAGAAAGCCAGTCAAGATTGGTAAACATGAGCATTGATTGAATTTTTTATTTTATTTTTTATTTTTTGAAATGTTTGTTTTAGGGTAAGCCCTCCTTTTAATCCATATTGTGATGTTTTTAGCTCTTGCTTTCTGTAACATTTCAGGTCTTCATCCCGGTCCTCATCATTCACGGGTTCTGGCTCTTCCCGCTCTCGATCTCGTTCACGGTCATCTTCGATGAGTTCCTACTCAAGCCACTCTTCTCAGCACAGCTCCTTCAGCGGGAGCCGCTCTAGGCAAGACATTACAGTTTACATTAATGTCATGATTAGTCATGCTAACTTATTATGACTCCCAGAACTTTTACTGTGAATGGTTGCTGTTATTAAAAGCTTTATTTTTCATTGTCTAGATCGGGATCATTTTCATCTTCACCCTCTCCGAGCCCCTCGGCACAAAGAAATGCTAACAAGAACAAAGCTGAACAGCCTCCTGCTGCAGCAAAAGGGTAAATGAACTTGTTTTTAGCACATTTAAAATATTTTTTACAAATATATACACTACAAAGTTTGAGGTAAGATTTTGAATAATTGATCAAATGTTATTTGAAACGTGTATAATGTGGTTTAGAATTAGTTACGAAGCTAAATTTGTTTATTTCTAGTTATATTTGTCATATCTATTCCTGCCGTTCACTCACTGCATGTGCACGAAATTGCATATTTTCATTCAGCCCCCCGTTGAAGCCTGGTGCTCTGCCACCTCCTCGCAGGGACAAAGGGCCTCCCAAAGTGATGCCCAGCCCATCATTGCCTGAACAGCCAGGGAAACCACCCAAGCCAATTACAGAGACAGTAAAACCCCCAAACCCCCGTCCACCCGGAAGACCTCCTGGCCCCCGAGAGCCCAGAGAGCCACCCAATATGAGAGAAGGACGCAAGAAAGAACGACAGCAGCACAACCCACCTCGCAGGTACAGCTTGCCTTATGTTCTGCCACTAACTATCACAGTACTTGGTAGGGTGCTTTAAAAAAGTAAGCAAATAATGACTAATTACATCCTTAATGTTGTTTTTATTATGTCTGAAAAGTAATTTATCTATTTGACAGCTTCGAATCCCTGATGTATAGACAATAGAAGCTACACTCTTTTACATTTGAGACAAACGTGCAATAGTTTCTTTTAAGATTTATCAATAGTGCAGTAATTGATCTGCCTAAATGCTAACAAGTTAGCGTAATATGTTTGAAACACAATTCCTCCCCTGCAGTTAAAACCCACGCCTCCTGAAATCACAAACGCGCACATTAAAGATGACAGAGACCCACTAGATCATGTCATTCCCCAGTTAGAAAACGTTGTAATACTAAAATTCTCAATAAAAAATTGTATTATATCTAGAATGTTTTCAGTTGTTTAGCAAGCAAAACTTATCATAATGTGCAATATTTCATGCATGCAAGGATCACTGGTCTCACTGTCTCACACGCTTTGTCCTAAAGCAGCTACTGTATGCTTATTGGTGGTTGCCCAGTGGCGTGAAGGAATAACACTTACTACTAAGCCATACTTGCATGCTATTTCAGACCCAATATTTAAAGTAGCATGGTAAACAATATAGGGAGAGTGTCACAGGTTCCTCAGTAAAGCAGGCTAGGCTGAATAGCGCTATTTACTTATGTTATGTTGTTAAACTAAATAAAAATCTACATTATCAATGCTGTAAAAGGAACTTTATGAAACTGAAAATAGACGCATCAGTCTTTGGCTGGAACATTTCAGTAGCTGAACAACACTTCCATTTATATAACCCATTCATAACACAACAAAATCTACATCAGCTTTACGTGACTAAAATGGTTTTAAAACATAACGTTACCTGTCTAAAAGAAATACTTCAGCCATGGTGCATCTTTCTTTCAAATCCAATATTGATTCAGCATTTGTTTTTACCGATGTTGCTCTCTTGTTTGCACGTGAACGTGGAGTGAGAGAACGCGGAAATGGAGGATCTGTCTGTGTGAACGGAGTACAAATCTACATTAGCTGACAGACAGTTTGGGCTACTTATCAGAATTATGGAAATTGTCTGCCCAACAATTTTGTATTGGATAAACATTTTTTAGTTTTATGCCTCAAACAGAAAATAAAAATACACATAAATACATTTAGATAATTTACTTTACTTATTAATATTGGAATGTGAAGAGACTTTCTACCAGAACAACAAAAATGTTTCTGACCACAATCACCTACTGCACCTTGAAAAATGTTTTGATTCATCATCTTAATAATATTCTCCCCGTGTTCGCGTGGGCTTCCTCCAGGTGCTCCGCTCCACAGTCCAAAGACATGCGATATCGGCAGGGCTTGACATTATCTTTTTTGATTAACACTGTGGCTAGTAGTTTTCCAACCTTACTAGCCACTCACCATTTTCACTAGCCACAATTTTATTGTTGGGAAAATATATTTTATACCCATAAATATGACTTTGACATGCCGAAATTACTTGATTTAGATTTTGCGTTATATCCACATGCGTCAATTTTCATGAGCAAATGCATAATAGTTATAGCATTACAATTAGTTTTTATTTCACATAATTTTTAGAGCTCAAAATGAAGGATTTAACAAATTTATCTCCGACCACACCAAACATAAACAATTAATTATTTCTTTTAAACAAGCAAAAAATAGCTGTATACTGTACTTTTTATTTAACAAAGCATTTTCACAGTAATCTGTCCTGTCTTAAGGTGCCAGATCACCAGTTAACTACACATAAATGGGGATTTAATCTTTCATTAAAGCAATATTATTGTAAAAAATTATAATTTACCATGTAAACGCAAAAGAAAGCAGGAAAAAACATACCGTCTGATGAAAGGATGATCACACACACACACATAAATAATCTGTTCAAAGAAAGGTTAAAGGGAAAGCAACCAGTGCTGCTTACAAAAAGACAAATCTGGAACTCTTGAAAGTAGCAAGACTGTGGGTGCATGTTCATTAATTTTTGTCTAGTCTATTAGAAAGAGAACTGATCACATCAGTTGTGTTTCTAGACACAGTTGCTTCACGCAAGGCAACGGGAGCGCGCAAGCGTTTTAAACAGTCGCACGCATCACCTCAACTGTTAGCGCAAGTGGTTATCCTCTCATTCGGTATTCACCTACTTTCTATTGCTCGCGCAAACGCAATTATTTTTGCCAGTCGTGTTGCTTGTCAATTCTAAGATCGTCTTTGCATGCATATTGGACCATCCGTATTGTCGAACCCTGCTTTTAAGAATTATTATCCAGTAAAATTATTTTCAACCAGCCCAAAGTGGCTAGTGGAAGTGTCTGTCTTACCCACCACTGCTGAAATCTACCCGCTTATGACTTTCCCCGTGGTTTGGCGGGTGTTAATGTCAAGGCCTGGATATATGTGAATTGGGTGAGCTAAACTGTTTGTAGTGTATGGGTTGCAGCTGGAACGGCATCTGCTGCGTAAAACATATGCTGAATAAGTTGGCAGTTCATTCCGCTGTGATGACCCCAGATTAATAAATAAAATAAAATAAAATAAAATAATGAATGATCGTTATAATACATGTAAACTAGTTAACATGGAATTATATAGAATAATGTTTTACTTAAAATAAAAACCTTTTGTATAGTGTATACTGTCATGTTTTTACAACATAGTGTCATTTTAGTAGAAAATATGATTGCTTTAACAACAAATAGTTACTTTGCTTCTCTGAATTGACTTATACAGAACAGTTGAATGTTTATTTACAGTAAGGCAAGTGTCTAATGGTAATTGATATAATTGTAAAAGCTTGTTCAAACTATTCTAGATCTTTACATATTATGATTATTGCTTTTGCTATTTTTGCATTTCATGGTGATTTATTTGATGGATTTGTGTAATGTTTTTGTATTCATCCATTTATTTATTAAATCTTTTTAGTTCGTTTTTTCTAAGAGAAGGAGGAGGGGTGCATGCAATGACCTACATATTATGTGATACACAGCAAATTTTTCTCTCGAGTTAAAGTATTGCATCACCATAAGAGCTGGACTTTTTGTTCATTGCTTGATAGTATGCTTGTGTTGTTGTTGTTTTTTCTCTCCTTCTTTTTGCGGTTGATTTGACATTTGTTTAGAGTGGATTTGCATAGGAACCATTACCCACTCACCAGTGTCTAGGCTCAACACTGAATACGTCTGTGTGTGTGTCTAGAAATCCTTTTTCCACTACAGGGAAGCTTGTGTCACAGCTCTGTGACCTGCAGCAGTGAGAGTGAGGTTTCACTGTGGATGTGGAATACCCTGTGTGGGCGTTCAGGAAAATCTCCTGTCCCGCTGGTTGCTCCTAATGCTTCAGCACAAAGAGGTTTTTGTGACTTGTCATCTTTATTATCAACTGTCGTTATGTCATTGGCGTTCGACCAGATGCTGTTCAGGAACATCTGGAAGTGTTGCTGGTACTTGCCCATGCAAAACCTGGAGGAGGTTGTTGCTCTGTGGTTTTGGTGTTGTGGGTTGTTGGTAACTTGCCATATCTAAAAGATCTTTCTTTTTTTCGTTTTTGTGGAATTAAGTCTGATTGTGCACAAAAGAACACAATTTTATAAAAGATTACAGTTAAAAAAAACTGATTTGAAAAATCCTTTGCTTGATGTAAGGTACATAAGTCTTTTTAAGTCAAGATACAAACATTTAGTAATTGCATTGTGTCAATTTAGCTATACTTGAATGACATTGTGGAGATTTGCTGAATTGAATTTTTAGAGATGTATTCATGGACCCTGAAAACTTACAATTTTTCTTGTAAACGTACAAAAGACAAGCTCACTCCCTGCTCTTGTTTATTTTAGTTTATACAGTAAAGTTTATATACAGTGTTCAGTATAACATTTGATTATAATATTCACTTTCATGCATATTTTTCATGCGTTTTTTAAAGGAACTAAATCACCGTAACATTGACATTTGTTGCAATAAGAAAAGCCATGATTGTTTATTATTATTGTTATTTTTAAATATAATATAATGGCATGCAGTTGCTTCAAACAGTGGTTAAAAAAAAGCTATTTAATACTAAATAAAAACAAAAATAAATGTACATTTGTAATAATCACAATTACAGTTTCAATGGAATAATCAACAATTATGATTTGTCATAACTGCGACCCTAGTTAGTGTATTTAATAACATGAACAATACATCTATCAGAGGGTTTATTCATCTTTGTTATTGTTAGTTAATGAACATAAATAATTTTTTTCTTGTGCATTAGGTAATGTCAACAAGTACTTTGGATTTGCATTAGTAAATGTTGAACTATGATTATTAATAAAAGCTGTAAGATAGTAAGGGAAAGTATATAAATAACTTATTTAACATTATTTTAAAGTGTTTAACCATTCAATTTTATAAGCCATGTTACAACAAATGGTGATGATATGGCAATAAAAATAAGTACTACTGCTACTTCAACAGTATGCTCTGTTATAAATGGGCTATATGCACAGCTAGTGTTTTTCAGTCAATGATGAACTTCTGGTAAAAGCTTTATGTGACTTTTCAATGGAGGTTAATGTAATTACAATACACTCGGTTAAATAGACCTAAGCATCCATTTAGTTGTTAAAGCATACAAAGAGAAAAAAGATTGTTTAAATGCAGGCGTCATCATTAGCAGCAGGCCAGCACTGAAATTTCTTTGAAAATACTGGGGTAACATTAATTTTCATGTTTTAAAGACATGGTGAAGGAAAATATCATTTTTTGCAGTGCTTCTTGTTTGGTCTGATACCTGCTTTATATTATATCTCAGCCAGGCAGTAAAGATGTTGATGCTGTTATTTAAAGAAATCAGGTCTTAAATGCGTCAATTTTGTATGGGATGAAAAATTACTGGATGCCCTGGGGCTGGCTGACTGAAATTAAAAGTCTGTGTGCATATATCCCATTGCTAAAGAAATGTTTGACAACTGAATATTCTACAGTTTAGATTCATCTTTTTGTTTAATAATTTTGAAATGCTGGAAGCTTATGAAAAGGTGTATTGTTTCATCATCTTTCTAAAGCAGCAGGGTACAATTTTCAACAGTTTAACATAAGAAATAAGAAAAAAAAAACACAGCTGTTTACACAGGCAGGAATTTGTATGTGTGCTTTGCCAAGAAAGTGTTCAGGTTTTCACTGAAGGACTGCCAGCTCTCTGTACTTTTCTATCATTACTGAACTCTTGAAGCATGTGATCTGACACGTTTTTTTTTTTTTTTTAGTTTGTAGTCAAAGATTTTTTGTTCACCAAAGTTGCATGATCACACATGTGGTTGCAATGCATTGTGGAAAATGTGGTGAGATTTGCAGAATGTTTATCAGTTAATGTCATGTTTTATTCACACTAGCAGCGACTTTGTAGCTCTGGGTGGTGACCTGCTGCAAACGCAGGTTTGACTTTGTATAGGTCTACAGCACAGAGAATACGTGAATACTTTGTCTCGTTGCTCGACACCTGGTCGCCAATGGTCCCTGTTCTCATAGACTGAGGTTGTCGAAAGTAGCTCACTCTCCATTAAAATGAACAGTCGCTTGTCACTTTGCCCAGGGTTTCCGCGGCATCTTAAAAAGTCTAAAATTTAAAAATCTAAATTTAAGGCCTTAAAAGTGTTAAATTCGCTGTTCTAAGTCTTAAATATTTTTGCACAGGTCTTATTTTTCTGATGTCCATGTTACGCTACATCTAATGCTCATTTAAATTCTTTTTGTTGTTGTTGCTAGGTTTTCAAGGTGTTGTAGTTCTTTATTTCACTAGTCCAATTGTAATTTGTGGTGTTACAACTACAAAAAAGGTCAACTTGCAATAGCCAATCTCAGTGTGCGTGGCGAATGAGATGTCATCGATGTGTTTCGGCTGGCGGAGTATTGCAATATTTCACTGACAAATGTCGTAAGCACAGTTACATTTCTGCTTGCATTAGTTATATTTAATTTTTTTTTTTATTATTAGTATGGTGCACCTTTTGGATGTGTAATAAATGTATTTAAAACAAAACTATTCTCTGTGTCTTTTTAAGTGTTTGAAACTGGAAATATCTCATCATATAACATACAGCCAAAATGGGATGGTTTATTAGATTAAAAATGTATTATGTAAGTCTATTTTAATATTTTGGCTATTGGTAAAAAATAGTGTGCTTGTATAAATCATATCAAAAAGCACGAAAGAAAGAGGGAAACAGTTTACTGAGAGAGCACAAGAAAATTTGTGTGGGAGCAGTTCATATTTGAGATTGAGAAAAACAAATTTTGAGATTGTCCACAAACAAAGGAAATCGGTGCACAAGCAGAGATTCCCTCGCTTGTATTACATGAATGCGCTCTTGACTTGTAATACTGCGCTCACGACATTTGTCAGTAAAATAACATCATAGCGGAGCTAATCGAATTTTTTGAGACTCTGATAAACAGTTCCCCCGGCTCCACATAGACTTGTCCAGTGCACTTTAATGGAGCTTTCCTCACATTGTTTATTCCTTCAAAGTCCGTCCTTCATGTGGTATTGCTGTGCGTTAATAACCATGTTCCTTATCATTGTTGAGATGTTTGTTTGAGTGTCATTGTGTATTTTGCATCAAATCGCCTCAGGAAAAATATTACATGTGTAAACATCACAGCAGCGATGCACACGTGCTAAACAACTCGTTGGGCTGTTTGTAATCTAATATGATTATTTGTTATTATCAATGCATTGCTTGCCATGTGTTGTTGATGTAAAAATTTATTCAGTTAGATCGGAATATTCATATTGATTATAAAAGCCCTCGTAAGGGCTGTCACCACACACACCCACACACACTGATCTGACAGCCTTTAGAGCAGCACGGGGGAGAGGTGCGGTGCGCCGGTCACTGAATCCAGCGTAGGAGCTCTCAACTCGTCAAACATTCTGTCTTTATATTTTGCTCTGTGTTTGTCATAAAGTCATCTGTGCTCAATGCTTAGCTGCTCCGCCTGCAGTTGAGTGTAACTCAAAGCGGTTTATCTAAACTTTTCATCGATCATTTTTTCCCGCAATTGACAGCAAGAACAAACACAGAAGCGTTGTCTGACTGACAAGCAGCACCTACATGTGTTCAAAAGAATCTAAAACGCCAAATAGGATGAATCTAGCTTTTCGCTTGTACGGTGGCTCTGAACTGTTAAAACACCTCTTATTTGGACATTACATATGTACATTACATATGTACATAGTTTTAGTCCTTAGCTTTTTCATTTTCGTTTTGTTTAAAATTTATTTAACTTGCTTGTTAATTAAATCCCATTTTATTATTTAACCTATTATTTTATGCAACAGTCAAGTTGCATGTTAGTTTGCTATGAAGAAAAGGAAATTTATATTTTGCATGCTGATTTATGTGAAATCGTGAAAATGAGTCTGTATAATCACCTTGCACTTTTGAAATTATAGCTTTTTTTTTTTTTTTTTTTGAGTATAGACTCTTCAGTTCATAAGAGCATGTCAATCTTTTATGAAGTTTGCTGGATAAAAATATAACATTTTGAAATATTTATAGCTATCGGCCTATATATATCCAATATATATCTCCAAGTATGAAGAGTTATCTGTATCGGCCAAAAAATCTGTATCGGTGCATCCCTACTAATGAATAATTAACTTATTTTATGTTTCAGGGTTGGTAATAACAGAGAAAAACTAAAGCAGAATCCAGGAAAATGATTATTAAGAAAATAAGGGGAAAATCAAATGTGAGGGAAAAGATTAGTTGAATGAAAAAAAATCCCTTTGAGCGCAGATGAAAAGGTAGTTCATATGCTAAATGTAATACAAGCTTATAGTTCATTTTGTAATTTTTTGTGGCCTACTTTCTCGGTATACATTTTAATTACTAGCTTCCGTTTAATGTGTTATTTTGTGCAGTTTTTTTTGTAAAGAGGAACATTGTGTGTGGTGACGCAGAAAAATGTGACACAGATGCTTCCCTTTGCTTTGGATTTTATGCTTGAATATTTTTGAATGACTGCAGAACTCATCTGTGGTCTTGATCATAAAAAATATAAAAAAAAATCTTAAATCTTTGAATCTTTATGTTCAGATTGATTAATTCACTCCCTCCTCGAGTTCATATGAGCTCATTCTATAACTAAACTGCTTCAGACTAAACTAAATCTGTCCCCTGTAGTATGCAGTCATTTGTTCTTGAACTGCACTGTACTAGTGTCTCTAGTGCATGCTAGTACACCAACTATACTTGTACACTAGCTAAATAATAACTAACTATACTAGTATCTACAGTGCATGAATAATATTTTGACTGGGTTTCTGTCTGTTTCTCTTGCAGGCGAACAGTGAGCGGCAGTGTAAGTGGCAGCAGTTATTCTGGCTCCAGCTCACGCTCAAGATCTCGTTCCTCCTCTGCCTCAGCCTCCCGGTCCGGATCCCACAAGTCTAGGTATGTCGCAACACAGTGTTCCAACTAGGCCTGTGCCAAAAAAAGTTATTTTTTAAGTGGCTGATTTGATATTGATTCTCAAAAGCTGCAAATAGTCTTTTTTTTCTGGCCATATTCCCTGGCTACATCCAAAATTGCACATATTCATACTATATAGTACATTAAATTCAGTTAGTCTGAATTCATAGTATTTGAGAAACAGTAGGTAAAAGTAATCTACCTACTACTTCCAGCGAGATTCTGAAGTGCACATCTGATGGATGCTACGCTATCCCATGATGCAAAGCAAGTGAATTCATAAATGGAAGTTAAGCAGATGTGCGTAGGTCATCTGATAATGACAAATGGTGGATGTAGTAAGTCCAAAATCCTTTCATACTCTATAAAACATACATTTTTAATGGTCATGTAGTAAAATTAAATTCAAACAAAATACCAACTATTAACTAAATTTAAAAAAAAAAAAAAACATTTTAAGGTCAAAATTATTACCCTTTTAAGCTATTTTTTTTCGATAGTCTGCAGAACAAACCCTCTTTATACAATAACTTGCCTAATTATCCTAACTTGACTAGTTAACCTAATTAACCTAGTTAAGCCTTTAATTGTCACTTTAGGCTGTATAGAAGTGTCTTGAAAAATATCTAGTAAAATAATATTTACTGTCATCATGGCAAAGATAAAATAAATCAGTTATCAGAAATGAGTTAAAACTATTATGTTGAGAGATGTGTGAAACAATCTTCTCTCCATTACACAGAAATTGGGGAAAAAATAAACAGTGAGGCTAATAATTCAAGGGGTTTAATAATTCTGACTTCAACTGTATATTAAGGGGCAGTTATGGCCTAATTTTTAGGGAGTTAGACTTGTAATCGGCAGGAATTGAAGATTGGTTGTGATACCTTCCATACTCAGCGGAGGTGCACTTGGGTTGGGCACCTAAAACCTAAATGCTCCCCGGTTGCTGGAATCAATAGCTGCCCACTGCTTTGGGTGTATGCTCACTGTGTGTGTGCACTCTCTCACTTCTCTCTATGTGCGCACTAGAGCAGTGTTTCTCAACCATGTTCCTGGAGGACCACTAACACTACACATTATCCATGTCTCCACACCCGTTTCAGATCATCAGCTCATTAGTAAAGACTGAAATGTGTTTCACAGACAAAGGAAGCATCTAAACACTGCACTAGAACAGAGGACCATGTTCGAGTGTGGGTAACCATGCTTAACACTTCACTTCAAATTAGTACTGGACAATGAATAAATATTTGTATTTGCTTGAAGTAAAAAACATCCTGTGAGTGAGCTAGAGCGAGTGTCATGATGAGTCACGAGAGTCATGAGATGTGTGATGACGATCATTCCAAGCCAACGTTTGACACCCCACCCCACCGGTGACCTATTGTTTGTAGGTGCGTGTAGCCAGAGCCAGTGATCTTGACTTTAAAATAATATAAACTGCATTATTGCACAATAAAATAATTGTCTTCATTAATTAATTAACGTGTTAATGCACTTCAACTAACGCTTCAAATTAATGATATTAATAATAATATGGGAGGCTTTGAAAAACCTCTACTGTATTTTTTTTATGTAATGTAATGTCATGTGTATTTATATAGCGCGTTTATTGTGTATGGTCATACACCTAAAGAGCTTCACAGTCATAAGGGGTGGGGTCTCTCGACACCACCACCAGTTTTATGTTATCTATCTGAAATAAAGTTTTGTTTTTTTTGTTTAAATGTATAAAAAGTAAGCAAAAAGTAAAAAAATCTTCACTTTAGCTCTCAAAAGACGAATTTAATTTAAGTGTGCCAACTTTTTATGACTTTTTCTTTTCTATTTTAGTGTACCCATGCAGTTAAAATATTGTGCACTTACAATAGATAACATTTGTATTAAATCTATATTGACTGTATCCATCAAGTGTCACATCGAATAATGAACCGTCTATTGAATGTTCTGTTTGGCAGGTCTCTTTCGGTCAGCAGTGTGTCGTCGGTCTCCTCAGCCTCCTCCAGCAGTAGTTCGGTCAGGAGTGCCGACTCTGATGACATGTATGCTGATTTGGCCAGTCCAGTGTCCTCCGCCAGCTCCCGTTCACCCACACCAGGACATCCTCGCAAGGACAGAGGCCCCCCACGGGAAAGGGGCCCCAACAAAGAGAGAGGTACTGGTTGTCAGTGGCTTCACATTTGTTGGGCATTTGAGTAAACTTGAGTTTGTAAACATTACAAAGGGGAAAATAGTTACTGTGCTCAGCATATATAAGTACACCCCCCTCAAAAATCTCTCTTTTAAATTCATATTTTTAATGGAAAGCTATACAGTATTATAGTTGTGCGTATACATTAGATTAGTCAGTACTGAAGCCAAATCTGCAGCTTATCTTCCAAAATGACTTACGATAGCAGTCCAAAAACTAGTACAGCCAAGTTTATGTAATAGAAAAATATTAAATACAAGTTTTAAATCGAATCTATTTTTTGACAGATTTTTGACAAGCTGTACAAAAATACAGGTATCCCATTTTAAAATAAAAACTGTCAAGGATAAAAAACACAAAGCCCTGGGCTTGTTTGTATTGTGGTCCTCGCTGTTAAATAAAACAAAGTATGGCTACAAATACAGATGATGCATAAAACAAACAGTACCTCCACATTTTTCACAATTTTACGCAGCGGATGTCCCTCCAGCCACAACTCTATTCACAATCAAATAACATATAAAATAAAACACCCTCATACATCATGCAAACTAATTATCTTCATCAAACAACCATCTTTTGATAGCTTTTTTGAACCTTCTTAAGTCTTTTATTTCCTTGATCGATTTTGGTCATTTGTTCCTGATGATTACACTTGTATATAAAAACATATTTTTCCCCACTAGACTTCTAAATTTAAATATATAAAAAATATGAATACATTTTTGGTTAATTTAAATACTGAATTTAAATAAACAAATATCAAAATCCCTTTTTTAAAAAGAGGAAAAATCAAGAGAAGCAAAAAAAAAAAAAACAGAGAAATGTAGTTGAAATTTTGTAGGCTGTAATTTTTCTTTTGCAATGTTTTGCTTGAAATTAATTGTATTGTCTTTTAAATTCTAAATATGTTTGGTGACTAAAATATTATTTTAATAAATGTATTAGTTTATTAAATCTGTTTTGCTTAAATGCACCAAAATACATTGCCTATATTCACTGAAAAATGGATAAAATAATCATTTTCAAAATGGGGTTATGCTTAATTATGCTTAGCACTGTATATAAATCATATTATAATGCTATAATATTTAAAAATAAATAAGAAGCACATAAAAAAATTGCAAAAAGTTATACTGGGATTGAAACAAACAAATTAAAGATTAATCTCATCCAAAATAAAAGGTTTTGTACATAACATATGTTTATACATAATGTATATGTGTATTATTATAACAATAACAAAATTATACAAACCAATTTGTTACTTAGAATTTTAAATATCTATATAATTTAAATCATACATATATATTTTAGATCTAAATATAAACAAACAATTTCTCAAATATGAGCATGCGTATGTGTATTTATATATACATAATTCTGCACAGTACACACACACACACACACACACACACACACACACACACACACACACACACATATACTGTGACATCAATATTTTGTTTTGCATGCAATAATCATATTTAATATTTGCTCAGCATTAATTAAATGTCCAAAAACACTGATAATAATATAATACAATTAAGTTTAAACATGAAATGGTTAAACATCAATAAATGCTTAGTATGAAAGAAAGAAATATAATAAAAGAAAAGTTCAGAATTACTAAAATTTATACTAAAATCAAAACTAAAACCTTTTAAAATAATGGTCCATTACTTATATATTCACCAGCAGGAACAAACAATAAGTCATACATTTTTTACATTATTTATGTTATTTATACATCATTTTTGTTACAGAGTAGTTAACTAATGCTAATGATAACTTGTACAACTTTGGATATTAATAAGGCAATCATTAATGTTGGTCTATGATTAATACTTAGTTATGCTAGTAAACTAATAGACCATTATCTAAAGTGTTACCCAGAAAATAAATCATCTAAAGCAATCAGTATTATAGACCATTTCAATGTGGCAATGTCACTGGCCCATTTCCCCCTTGTTACCATAACTGTAACAAAAGGCAGTTTAATCATATCTTAATGTTAAAATGGCTGCCATAACATTATTTAACAGTATTTGAATCTTTTTGGATTTTTTGATGCTGTGAAAATTAGAGGTGTAATACAGGAAATTCATTAGGACCATCATTATTGTTTACATCCCTCAAAGGGGTCTATAATAGAATAAATGATCACAATTGTGTTTTGTGGTGTAACTCTTACAGGTAAACCACCAAAGAAAGACGAGCCTTTCAAAGACGAGCGAAAGAGAGTGGACCCATCCGGTCTCCCATCCAAAGCCAGTTCTGACATGCCTAGATCTGGAAACCGAGGTCACCCAATGCATCCACCGCCCATGGGTCCTCCAGGAGGATATGGCTCTCATAAGGACATCAAGCTCACCCTGCTCAACAAGGTAAATGAGAGAAAACACATGAATGTCACGGCCATGGAGCTGCGCAGAAGTACATGATGGTTCAGTGACCTCTTTATTCCTCTTTGACCAGCAGCAAACCGACAGGAGCAATAGGAAAAGGTACTTTCCTTCTGATAAAGAGAGACCCCCTTCGCCTCTCCGCAAGAGGATGGCGATGTCACCTGATGGAGGTAAGCAACACCACGTGGCAGCTTTAATTTACATTAGAAAACCCCTTCAGAAGTCTGATATCTTATTGTGGTTAATCTCTTGCAACAACAGAAGTACAGAAATGCAATCAGAGCATTACTTTGCAGTATTTGATAAAGAATTATTTTACGAACTCTTTGTAGGTATGGAGCTTATCGAACAAAATAACTAACAATAACAGTCCAAATACTAGTACAACTAAATTTATTTTTGAGTTCTTACCATCCAAATGGGATGCCACTTTTAAAACATGGTGCGATAAGGGTCTTATGATAATTGATCAGTTATTTAATTAAAAAAAACTATGCACTCATTTTCTTATCTTAAAGACAAACTTCTGTTGTCATCAAGCGATTTCTTTCGATACTTACAATTAAGAAGCTATATTACAAATCTTAAAGAAAAGGAAATATTTTAAAAAGTCCCAACTAATGTGGAACAGTATTTTATTGATATAAAAAAACAAAAAGGACACATAAGACACATTTTACAAATATCACAAATATATAATAGACTAATTCTGGATTCAACAGATAATACCCTTCATATAAAGGCAAAATGGGAATCCGAACTTAATAAAAAAATTGAGGATGATATTTGGGAAAACATATGTTCAGAATCTCATAAGGGGATTTTTAGATCACCATTGATGGTTTCAAAATATGCTAAAAGTCCACAGTCAGAGGAATGCTGGAGGGGTTACGGGAATGTGGGTAATTACGAATGTCCGAAGATACCTGCATTTTGGCAAGGGTTAAAGATTGAGATAATGAAAATTATGCAGGTAGATCTACCTTGTACTCCCCTGTCTTTCTTGCTTGAAGGGATACCCCAGGATATATAATAAAAACCAGAGATATATATACTATATATACTTTTACTAAGTGCAAGAAAGACTATAACAATAAATTGGATGAAGCCACACCCTCCCACAATAGTACAGTGGATAGAAAAACTTGAATCTATACTACATGTAGAATGAAGTATGGACTGCTCAACTTTAGTTGAAACTGGATGATTTTAAATAAAGATTGGCACCTGTTACTTTGTATCTGAAGAGGACATAGTATTTCAAGCTCCTTTGAAACTTTGTTTTTTTTTGTAATTTGTTTTTATTTACATCTAGGGTTATTTTTTTCTGTTGTTTTTTTTTATTTATTGTTTTATTATTGCTGATGTCACTGAATGTTCTGTTCTGTAAAATGTTTCAGTAAACTTTTAAAAGGAGGAAAATTAAGAGAAGCAAAATAATGGGAAATTTAATTAGAATTTTGTTGGTTGTAATTTTTTTCTATTATTTTATTCTATTATTTTTCAATTTCTAAATATGTTTGATGACTAAAATATTATTTTAATGAATATATTTGTTTAATAAATCAGTTTTGTTTAAATGCAGCTTTAATGCCCATTAGAAACCTACTTCAGAAGTTGATATCTGATTGTGGTTAATCTCTTGCCTCAACAGAAGTCCAGAAATGCAGTCAGAGGATTAGTTTGCAATATTTGCTAACGCATTATTTTATAAACTCTCTGTAGGTCGAGACAGGAGAATGCCTGGACGGCCCCCGATGTCTCCTAGAATGGAGCGGCCCAAAGGTCAGGGTCCTCGCCCGATGCCGTCACAAGGAGAAAGGTACACACTGACAGTTTTTTCACCAACTGCCACTGTTCTCTTCAGTCATCACACTTTTAAGGCCTAAATACACTTCAAGCAGAGAGTTTATCTTACTATTATTTTTTAGGTCTAAAAAAATGCGAAATTACAAAAAAAAATTGTGATTCAAAAATTGTGTTTGTATTTATATGCCTAATCAAAGTGACTCATTAACAATTTAGTAATTTAACAGTTGAAGTGTGAATTATTAACCCCACTATATATTTTTCCCCTCAGTGTTTTGGCAGAAATCAACACATTTCTAAACAAAATAGTTGTAATAACTCATTTCTAATAACTGATTTCTTTTATTGTTGATGATGACCGTAGATAATATTTTGCTAGATATTTTTCAAGACACTTCTATACAGCTTTAAGTGACATTTAAAGGTTTAACTAGGTTAATTCGGTTAACTAGATAGGTTAGAGTAATTAGGCAAGCCATTGTGTAACGATGGTTTGTCCTGTTAGCAAAACAAAATACTTAATATTGACCTTTACATTTTTTTTAAAAGTTAGAAACTGCTATCCTAGCAGAAATCCAACAAATAAGACTTTCACCAGAAGAAACAATATTATAGGGAATACTGTAAAAATTTTCTTGCTCTGTTAAACATCATTTGGGAAATATTTGAAAAAGAAAAAAAATTCACAGGAGGGCTAATTATTTTGGCCTCAGCTGTGTGTGTTTGTGTGTGTATCACAACAAAAACACAAAAAACAGGCCAAAAATTCATTGTTTTTGTTTTAACCATTTTCATGTGACCAATTAATTTACATGACCAACTCAGACATTTTGTTAAACTTGAATATCAAAAACAGTATATGCAGAGATCAAGGTCCCATAATGAAATTTAAAAGTGTTAACAATTGGAAAACACCCATGAATTACAAAATACAGGAAACTGTTAATTAGGATGTTTTTACACTGTACTATTAGCAAACATCCCAGTGGCACCCAGGCAGCTGAGAGTGGTGTTTTGATGAATAGCTGAAGATCTTCCGCACTCTTGTCTCTCAAAATATATATGACAGCCGTGAGAATGTATCCAAGACTCCAAATAAATTCTCAGTCAGGTCACATCATGCTAATTTTTAAAGGATTCTAAACAATCTTTTACTATTATAAAAGCAGCATTTTATTCAACTTCTTTTTGCCTTCTTTTTGTCATGATTGATTGAATTGAATCTATTGAATTGAATACAATTCTTAGTTATGAAACCAATCTTATTCTGCTATAAACTACTGTACTGAAGACTATGTAAAGTGCTGTTTCAATGAGTCAGCAGCAGTGATTCAGTAGGTTTCAGTCGCATTCAATGTCAGTGGAGCGAAACGGATAAAACAAGCCAAAGGTGATACAAACTCCTTCAAACAAAAACAAAAAAATCATGAGAAAAAAATCCTTTGGAGAAACCGAGCTCAGTCAGAGGACAGTTGTTTTCTGACCAAAAGAACAATGTGATTTTATAGAGTCTTATCTGTGGCCTGAAATTCAGTCACACTCATCTGAATATCCCTTCAGATATGTGGTGATTTCCATTAGTTAATTGATAACTTCATTTACAATTATAATATTCTAATATTTATGTAGTCTATAATGATATATTATCATATAATTTTAATATACTTGTATATTTTGGTCCCTCTTCATATTAATTTACACTACTATGCATCTAAATCCGAATATAAATACAATGTACTTCATGTGTTCATAATGTATTGCAGAACACTTCTGGTGCTCTTGAGGTGGGATAAGGGTCATTATAGGGTCCGGTTTGGTGGTATGCATAGGTTTAAGGGTGGGATAAGATGCAAGGGATAGTCAACAGTGTAATTATAAATGCGATTACAAAGATAACTAAAGCATAATGCACTCAAGTATTTAATCAAGCTCCAGTACAATGTAAAAACATTCATTTACACACCAAGTACATCGAAACAAATGATTCATTCCCGTGTAAGTACATATTAGTTAAAGTAACTAAATATAAAGTGGGACCTTTATTTTTTTAAAATAGAAATGCACAATCTCATTCTAAAATTTTAACTTAAACTTTTGTTAAATGTTAATAAACAGGAATAAAAATCAAATTAAATGACAAAATATGAATGAATAAACTTTAATAAATGCTTTGTAAATATGAATAAGAAAGCAAACTAATAGCACAAAAAGATAATCAATCAAAAAATAGTAAGTGAATTCTAATCTGATATGATCTGTCTGACTTCAATTCAGTCGCACTCTTCTGAATATCCCTTCAGATGTCTGGTGATTTCCATTAGTCGACTGATAACATGTAGGGAGAAAATAAGAATGCACTTATTCAAATTTGTTTGCAGGAGAGATATTAGTATCTTTGTAGAAGTACAAACATACACATTTAGTTTACTCTTTATGTTGAGCAGATTTATTGTTAGTCTAGCTGGTATAAATCAGTGAAAATCCCCATGTTTGTTCACCTTTAGTTCTCCTTTTATGTGCTTGAAGGTGTTTTATAACCAGCTTTATCATCATATGACTGAGACTGAAGATTTAAAAATATCCCATTTGTACTTCATCGTCCAACCTCTTTATTTTCTCCCCACCAGGAAGCGTCCTTTATCTCCTCCAGCCAAGTCTTCTGGGAAAGGTCCTGCTGCTGCATCTGCAGCTAAACCTCCTGCACCTGGCGCTGGATCCGGCTCTGCTTCTGGTTCTGCTCCGGGCAAACCAAGCAGCACCCTTTCACGCCGCGAGGAGCTCCTAAAACAGTTAAAGGCTGTGGAGGACGCCATAGCCCGCAAACGGGCCAAAATCCCTGGGAAATAATTAATCTAACATCATCTGGGACATCCATGTTGTGCTCAATGCCCAGTGTTTGGCAGAAATAAAGGAAATGGTCATGATTCTGAACTCCGAAGGCATCCCGTAAATGTCTTAACGGTGGGGGAAAAGAGGCCGTCGTTTCATTTCTGCTCATTTTGCCCTCAGAGAGAGGTTGTCTAGGTTTTATATTGATGTGATAAAGTTGAGAAGTGGCGCCGGTCACTTTGTTTGTTTTTGCAGAACGATGGAGTCTTTACTGTAGTGCGTCTCAAAGATAAACTGTACATCCACTGCACATATTTGCTCTTCATCCTGCCATATTCTGCTTGCTTTTCTCCTGTCATTTTCTGAGGAGTTACAGAGGACAGACTTGTTTAATGTGTCAGATCTACGCGTTTGACATCTGTCCTACTAAAAAAAACGAAACAAATCTGAAACTGCCTTTTCAAAGAGTCCAGTGAACTTGTCTATCCTCCACATTCATGTGTTTAGCGTTTACCGTTTTCACCATGTTCATCTACACAGCCAGACGACAGAATTCCCGTTGCTTAAACTATGATTGCAGAGAACCAATGACAGTGATGTGAAATGTTGCTTCTTTTTTCTTTTAAAGATTCTGCTTTGTTTTTTTTCCTCCCCTTCCCTTCCCACTAGCTTTCCAAGTGAAAACCTGCATTTTATTTGTCCCTCATTTTTAGTTGAAAGTGTGAGAGGCTGCAATGGGGACGCCTGGAGATGAGGAATAATTCAGTCTTGCTTTTTGTGACAAAAAAGCTTCTAAATAAACTATTTTGATAAAGAGAATAATCTGTTGGAACTATTTCTCTCCGATGGAAAGAACTGTGGGGTGTTTTATCAGTGTGTGCACTCCTCCATCATGGGTTCCTCTGCTTTTATTCGTTTATTGTCCCTGTTTGTTGTTCCACTATTCTGCTGTCTCAGCTTCCGATCGACACCTTCAGCAATTGAGTGAGATCATTCATTGACCGGGTTGGAACGTAATACATCTTCCTTTTGTTTGTACACTTCAACGTCACAATAATCCTAAACGCTTCACTATGATACACCCACATTACTTAAGTTGTTTTTAATAATTAGGCCATGATGTCACTGTTTTTTTATCAGTGCATATCAAAATGATGAAACTAGTTTTGTCATTCAAACTTGACTTACGTTTGTTTGATTTCCTTTAACTAATTAATTAAAGGAAATCAAACAAGCTTTTGTTTCTGGCATGTTTAATGTCAGATTGATTGATTAATGGCTTAAATCTTCAGTTTCACATTCTCGGCAGAACGTATAGACAATGAAGTTTAGGGGACTCCTGGGGAGATGTGGCTAATCTGGATGATGCTGGGAAATTCACTTGGTCTCGTCCCGTGATGGCAACCCCATAGAGAGACAGAACTGCCATAAAAACCTTGTTTTAGTTAATGAATGTCCTGTTATTGAGGGCTTATTTGTCATCTCCAAAACATCCAGGGGGCCCCCACAGTTTATCTCCACATTCACTCTTCCAAGGATTCAAAAAGGTCACAAAATGCTCAGAAAAAGGGGGATTTTTTTTTATTTCAACTGTGTGAATCTTCTGCGTATTAAATAAAGATGTTAGAATAAGGTTTCACTTGTTAATGCATTATTAATGGACAACCTATTTAAGACATTTATAAACCTTTAATAATGTTAGTTATTTCAAATATGTGTTACTATAGTATATTAACTGTAAACACAATTAATGGTTTCAGTAATATTCTAAGATGAGCGATGTCTTTTATTGATTGTAGAGTTGTTTTCATTGTTGGTTCAAATTAACGTTAGCTAGCGAATGAAACCTTTGTTACCGGTTAGTTTTAGTAAAATGCCAGATGCTGGTTGATGATGAGGCGAATGTATAAATTGTCCTGCAGTATTTCTCTTTAGTTGAACGTTTCCTTTCTTGTCAAAGCAGACAGAATAAGCATGTTTTAATGAATGAAGTACCGCGTTTAATGAATGAAATCATTTACTGCTAACGTTAGTTCAGATGAGGAAAAGGGGGATTAGCGGCTGACGAGAGCAAAGCAAGTCTAACTTATCAATTAAACATACAAACAGCGAAGTGTTCAATTGAAATTAAATCCTTTTAACGTTAGATACAAAAAAACTGGAGGACTTTATTTTTTTACAGATAGAGCATAATACGCTTGCGTATACATCGCTTCATTTGAAAGAGGAAGCAAGGAAGTAAATATTTATTACTATTTCCTCATAGGACTCGGATTTCCCCAGTGATGGATACAGGTAAGTTGCCTATAAAAATGCCTCATAGCAGTGCAGAAAAGTATAACAGTCCTGAGCTGAGGCCCGACACCGCCTGAGCTGTATTTAACAATCACTCCGAGTCACTTTTGATATTAAACTATGTGGGTAAGTAGCAAAAGAAACTTTACAGCTGTGATTATTTTACAGAAATAAAAGTTAAATCGTTAATATGTGAAATTATTAATTTCATCTATATTTAAAAAAACAGATTTTATCACAATGTTTAATTTAATTTGTGTATTGAATTTATTGCAGTCCCCGCTGTTTTTTGGATTATTATTCGTCTGGTTGTCGGAGAGCAAAGTGGAAGGAAAACATCTCTGTTTCAAAGATTGTGACCATGGGTTCAGTAAGGCGCACCAGAAGTTGCTGCGCTCTTTGATTTCACCCAGACACCCGCCCGTCCAGCCCGTCCATCACCCGGCAGGATCCTGCGAGGATTTTGTCCGCACTGCCTCCGATGATCTCAAACATCGCTCGCTGTCCCCCTGGCGGACAAGGTACAGAAAACCATCCACTCTATAACACCTGCTTAACATTACGCTAGAAATCTTAGACCGTAAAGCTAGAAATATTAATTATTTTTTATCATTAATTGTTGCTATTTTTATTTACATGCTGAACATTTAACAATCAAGTAACACAATCTTGCAACTGAGACATTCACATCATATTCACAAATACAACAAACAAAAACAAAAAGCAGCTTAAGTAACTACTGACCTAATCAGACCGTTCACTGTTAATGTAAATAATTTATAGTCAACCTTAAATATATGCTGATATATTAGTACTTTGATAATAGTTTCACATATTGATTTGCCCGTTTTGGTTAATTAAAAACAGCAATTTGTTTATTTATTCAAATTAATGGAGAACAAACCTGTTTTGTAGTTTTTATTTAACAACATACAATCATTCAAACATTTGCGTAAATACGGGTTAGTTCATCAGAAATGACCAGTCTTTTATTATTCACTCACTCTTCACTCGTTTCAAACACATTTGAGTTTTTATTTCTTCTGTTGAACTCAAAATAAGATGTTTTGAAGAATGTTATGTTATGGAGTCTTGGAATCTTTTCCCTGATGTGGTCAATGGCTACTAATTTCCAACATTCTTCAAAACATCTTATTTTGAGTTCAAAAAGAAAAAACAAATATCTCAAAGTTGAGAACTACTTGAAACAAGAACTTTGTTAGGTCATTTATACTTTTATTAAGTGTTGTCCTGCATCATAGCTAATTTGTATATCTCTTGTATTCTTCAGAACTGTGGAAAACCCAGACATGTACCCCTCAAAATATGAGGAAGCGCAGTGTTTGTGTGATGGCTGCATCATTAACGGGGAGTTAAACAGATCCTACAACTCTGTGCCTGTGTTCAAAACTCATGTATTCCTGAAGAAGCACCCATGCCCGTCTGACCCGGATAAATACTCCTTCACATTTGAACATGTGCAAGTGCCTGTGGCCTGTACCTGTGCAGTGCCTAAACAATAACCGAGGACAAATTAAGAACCAATCTGTAGAGACGTGTCTCATGTACCGAGTAGTGTTTGTTTTAAAATACAATTTTATAAGGTACTTACATTATTTGATATGCTTACATTCGTAAGCTTAAAGGTTGCATGTGTCACATGATTTATTTCAAAGTTTATAAACCAACACTCTTTCAAGAAAGATTTGCTTGTAATATAGTAAAACACTACTTTATTTAGGCTTTATTTATTTATATATTAATAACTTATTTACTATTTATTGAACTTTTATGTAAGGTTTGCAAATATGTGAACTTTTGATCTGCGCTCAACTTTCTTTCTTATTGGGCGTGAAATATTAATCTTGTCAATGACAAGAATAGTTATATTAAGTTCATGTTTCAATGATAACAATCGAATGTATTAGATTCAGAATGCTTTGTTTTTGTAGTTTGTCCAAATGGTATTATGTTGTAAAACAAACTGAATAAAGTCTATGCTTGTATATCAGTGATGGGTTCGTTCATCTTTATCTAGATTTATAAATGGGTAAACTGTCAAGGTTTCTGGATCATATTTCACTCAGGAGGATTAATAATTAATACTATTCATTCATAAATTATCATTTAAAGTTTGTTGTTGACATGCATGTGAAAAGTATAACAATTCTGTATTATCATAATTACCATAAAATGAGGATGATTATTTTTAAAAAATTGCAGTATTTATTCTGCTTTTTGTGGGTTCACAATTTTATTAATAAGTCAAATACAAGCAATTAGAGAGGAAAGCAGCTTTGTTTTTGTTTTTTTTTAAGATTTTTCTGATTTTATGGCTTGTTTATTGATTTTTTAAAATAAAAAAGTCACTATAAACTGACTATAAAAAGACAATTTTACCAAAAACCCTTGTCAGTCATCCTCAAAATACTTATTAGTTGTTATACATTGTTTAAACAGTTTGTATTATTCACACCACATTACACTATCCTTCACACAACTACACTTACTGTGATCACTTATATTTTTAGAGTAGGCCTACAGTTATATTTTAAAGTATTTGTTTTCTTTTTTACATAAACCTGCTGCGTTTGAGATCGAAGGACTTTTATTATGAAAATATTTAATTTCAACCGTAGTTACGTTGAAGCTTTGCGACAGTCTTACAAGCAACACATTGCTGTGAGGAGCAAGATGACCACAGCATTAATAAAGTCTCTCAG